AAATTCACACAGGGTTTGCTTTTTCTATCTTGCCACATGCAAATGAAACACATTTGACACAGCTATTCTCGTCTCCATGAACTCAATAGCTCGCACGCTGAGCACATTATAGAAGGTCCACAAGACTGTGGTCTTTCCCCCTTTAATAGGAGGCTGTTTTCAGGCATGCAGCAGCTGAGATGAGGGCTGCAGAAAGCATACATGTATGAAAGATATGTGGGCATAGAAAAGTATTATATTTCAAGGGAGCATTTAAGCAGATTTTTGAAACCTAGTAAACATATTTATTGCTAACATTATTGACACTCCTGAATATTCTTTTATATCCATTTGTCTGGACAAAAAAAAATTATACTACAAAGATCCTGCAGTAGGCACCAAATCTTTCAACTCTTTTCTTTCATAACCTAAGCTGGTGGGATATCAGCGGTGTGCACAGCTTCACTTCAGTTAGAGGGAAAAAAAAGTCAGTACAATCCTGTGTCATCCCAAAGATTCAGCCTGCAGTGATTATCTTCAGCAGATCTGAGCCTTTTGCCAAAGCTTCTGAAAATGCCTGTACACAAATTGCAAATACATAGATTTGCATGCTYAAAGCAGAAGCAGAGTACAGAAAAATCCAAGTTCATTACAAAAGAGTACCATAGAAAATAAATAAATAAACAAACAAATAGCCATTCGTGTACATAAAGGTTGGATCTGTACCTGCAGAAACAACTGGAAGCCAGTCCATGGCCTGAGGCCAGCTTGAGGCCTTTTTTTGTCCCAAGTTAAATATTTGCATAGTATTAAGCTTAAAATTAAAGCATTTGCTGAAGAAACTTGCTGACTTGTGTATATGGAAAAACAAGAGGGAATTTACTGTCCCTGCACACTGGGGCAGATTCTTGGGATGCCTTCTCCTTCCCATGAATTCCTGGACAGCAGAGAGACAGACCGACTACCGACCAGGGAATTCCCCTCTCRGTTTCCGGAGGATTTTGTGCGCAGGCAGGACAGAGAGGCAATAACCCAGGTAGTGACTTTATGAAGGCAGCGTTTGTTGCTTTGGCGCCTGCCCCTCGACCACCTGGTAACACTCCTTCCTTTTAGCGCTGTCCCCAGCTCAGAAAGCCCCATTCACCCAGCACCTCCAGCCGTGCAGGTTTGACGGGTCCCTGTGCTGCTCCCAGCCCCCATTCCTGGCGGCTGTCCAGCGTTCCGGCCGCTGGCAGGCTCCGGCCACTCACTGCCCTGGGGACATGGGCTGGGGCCACTCACACAGGGGCTTTGAGGCAGGGCTGGCCCGGGCGCCCACTCGCCAAAATAAGACACAAAAGCACTGCTGTCTCTGTGTCTGTCTGTCTGTCTAYGCTGGAGCAGCTAGTCCCTGTCCCCAGGTGCTACACGAGACCCTGTGAGTGCCTGTGATTCCAGGTTCCCTCTTCTGCCCTGGGCACAGGGAAGAGCCGTGCCAGCAGCAGAAGCTCCTTGTCCTCCTTCCATCATCAGCGAGTGCCTGACAGTCACATGGCCCCATCGCTCCGTCCATTACGGCCAGTGCTCATAAGGCTCTCACCATCAGCTTTCTAGTCACAGGAAAATGTATATTGTGCCGTGATGAAAGGCCAGTGCAATGTCAAGAGCATTAAAAGGACTCCAGGGACTGATTAGAGTCAAAAAGGAAAGGATTTATGATGGTTAATAAAGTTAAATCTGCCAGAGTCCTGCTTATTCTTTCCAACTGCAGGTAACCAGATCTTATAGGAAAAATTATTAAGGTGTTGCAAGCTATTACCATCCCCTCCAAAAGAAAACCATATTTTGCTGTGAAGCACCTGGCCAGGAGAGAGTCAAGCTCACTGTGGCACCTACACTGATCCCAAGGAGAAGAGGAAAAGGAAACACATCACCTGCCCTGTGCCTTGGCTGAGCAGGAAGGACYGCGGTATCAACCATGCATGTCACCTGAACGGTCCCCAGTGGGTCCCCCTGGCACCCGAGACTCTGGCTGGCAGCTGGGACAGGGCTAGGACTTCCATGAGCACCTCAGTGACAGGCATGGGCACACAGGGAAGAAAAGCCTCCCCCTCTGGTGGCACTGCACATCCACGAGGGAAAAGGACAACACAAAGAAGGAAGCTCTTGCCTCTCCAGTATGGTGCTGCACATGCGCCTTCTGCTGAARAATGCATCTAACTGGATACCATGGGGCTGCTCTGAAACTTGACTTAAATCTTTTMTAATCTAATGTGCCTAATAGTTAACATAATTTGACAAGACACTGGAAATAGTTGCCCAGAGCAGCTGTGGTAAGCCCCATCCCTGAAGTGTCCCAGGCCAGGCTGGATGGATGGTGCTCAGAAACCTGGTCTAGTGGAAGGTGTCCCTGCCCTTGGCAAGAACRTTGGAACTAGGTGATCTTTGAAAGTCCTTTCCAACCCAAGCCATTCTCCAATTCTAAGAAGTTAACGACTTTCCACATTGAAATAACAACACTGAGAGAAGGCAAAGCAAAGTTTAAAAAAACTATTGGGCATTTTCTATCCATATCTAAATTACATGCACTTTATTGRATCTCAAGTTTTCATTTTTCTGCTGCTTAATAATCACAAATATGTTATATATACCCTTTCCATTTTGTCATTCTTTCACTATATTACATCAAATTTAATTTCCTGTGGAAGTGTGTAATCTTTTCAGCTGTCACTGTCTCAGAAGCTTTTCTGTAATAAGCAGAGCCCTGTCCTCTGGCAGGTCGATCTTTTATGAGCTTGCTCCTGCAGATTAGTTTCCTGAAATGTTTGCAATGCTATATGAGAACCAGCAAAACAGGAGAACCAAAATAAYGTCCAAAAGGAAAAATAAACATGAAAACCTTCACTTCCTTCTGACTCCTGTGTTAACCGGTCAAAGGAAATTTCATTTTGATTTGGGTAGATGGCAAATCCGTGAAGGTTATTGCCGCATATCAGAAGCTTCACAAGGTGCGAGACACAGCCTCCCTTGCCCTACAGCTCATTAAAAGTGCAGCTGTGAGAGGGCTGCTTGCTCTTTGTGCTGGGGAACACGGAGATCTGCAAGCGGTCACCACTGTGACAGCTGCCTCTCCCTGCCGCCTGCCCTCGGCACCCCGAGAGGTCCCCTCCGCTGGCAAAAAGCCACATTCCACCAGAAAACTGAAAATGTCAACCAAGACGTATCCGTACTTCTCATGATGAGATACCTGTGATGGCAGGAAGGCAGACCAGCTGGTCTGCTGGGTCCTTTCCAGACTTCTGCCCCTGCAGGACGTGAAACTCATTTTCTTCAAATCAGCTCTCCATWACCAATGCTTACACACACACCAAAACAACGTACTTATAAAAACACATACCAACAAATAATTCTGAATGTTTAAAAATTAATCAACTCAGAAGAAACATGAGCAAGAGAAATCCTTATTCCTGTATGCCTCATGGAAAGGTGCTTAGATATGGATGACAGAAGCGACATCTGAATAAATACAGTCTGCAAAGGATCATGTTAATGGTGTTTGGCCAGCAGAGATTACTGGGTGGCCACAAAGGCATGCTAGAAGCCCTGCCAGCAGAAGCAGGTGCAATGTTCTCTCACTTCAGTGGTAGACGTCACGTCTGGGAGCTTCTCTTTGAACTGTCCAGCCAGATGTGGAAACCTCCACCATCCAACAYAATTTGTCATCTGCTCTCCCAAAACACACTACATGGATCAATGAACAACCATCTCTTACTTTCTGCTTACCCTTTCTCACATCACTGCTATAACAGATCATCCATATTTCTGACAAACACTGTCTTCAAAATTACATATAAACATACAGTGCATTAAACCCAGACATATACTTTCAGAGCCAACTATCATCTGTCCATATCACTTATAACAAGCATTTCACCAGCTGAGTTCTCTTCTGGTTATTTTGTCTATCCATTTCCTTGTAATTCTGTTTTATACTTTTATCTTCAATACTTAATTTCTAAAAAATGGCTAATCAGTGAAAAAAATATCCAAGCAGGGAACTTTAACAGAAGTCTCCAGTGTTACATGCGGTGCAATTTCATTCCCATCAGCATGAAGAAACTTTTTTCAACCAGCTTTGGTGGGAGTTGCATTGGGGCCCTAAGTCAGATGAAAATGTTCCATGTTAACAGCTACATGGTGTGATATAAACTGCTTTAGAACATAAAACAACAAYGTATTCACTCTCATTAAACCACCCTGCCATAGTCTAACAGGACCTGAGTGTGTGTTAACAATTTCAAGCCAGAAAAACATGCCAGCTATCAGTGACTTTACATTTTTTGCCTTGTAGGCCATAAATTGAATAGMCTTCCTTCACCAGATGTGGATCTCAATCTCTATTTCCTTATACAGGGTGAAGAAAACAGGCTCAAATATGAATTTACTTCCTATTGAAAACTTGGTCAAAGATGGTGGGTGATGTAAAGACAAATATCAAGGGAATAACTGCCATCCTCTGGTTGAGTTTGGTAAAATGGAGTTAATTTACACTTCTTTAGGGGTTCACTGGTGTGTGAAATTAATCTAATTTAGACTGACCAGAAATTGAAAATGGAATGAARAAAGAAAGCAATTAAAGACCTTTCATAAACGCAAAAAAAGTACTGTTGTATGTGAAGCAATACAGTTAAAGTGCAGAACCCTTCACGCTACTGCTACCTCTCCTTCCTTCTTAAGAGAGAGAGAGAATAATCATCTGTATATCTACATATCRCCACTGTACCAGTACCACATCACCCAAAGGAAACACTGGTAGAATGTTTTTACTAATATCTGTAAACAAATACATGTGTAAGTTAAAGCAGTTCACTATTCTGCATAGAGACCAGGCCTAGCAGATAAACATCTGCTGGAACAGCTCCGTGGAACTGGTTGTACATGTGGCTTAGCATTTACTTCAATGACTTTTAGCACCTTCTTGTAATTGTTTGTGTGCTGTTCCAACAAGCAATGGTTAATGCGAGACGCAGACGTTCACATACCGTGTACTTGTGAATAACTGGTTCCCAGAGATGTGGCAGTGATAACATTGTCATCGTAGGAGTCACAGTAGCTCACTGGAGATCACATGWCAGGAGAAGGTCCCACCTGAAAGCACAGCAAACCCAGATACTAAGTTATTCATATTCAGAAGTTTACAGCAAGCTCTGCTAATACTTTTGTGCATKTCACACATTCATCCTGTGCATTAAAAGGGTCTGTGCTCTTTCCAGGCTCACAGAAAACATCTTGCCATTCACAACGGCAAGCAAAAATGCCCTGCTGTAGCCAAACTGTTTTGGCCCACTGCTCCAGACCAGATTTCAGGCACACTCTGAAAGCAATGAAAACTAGTTTTCAGTGCTAAAGCAAACGCTGTTACTGTCTGGTGGACAGATGCAGAATTTCAGATTTCCCATTTATCAGGTCCTTGAAAAGTGTGTAATTCCCTTCATCAGTGCACGAGTGCACTGCCAGTYTGGCTTTACCTTTCCTTTTTTTCCCCCCCTTAACATTGTAAATTGATGGTTTGGAAGAAGACACAACACTGGAGCTCTCTTATGATCTATTTTSTTGAGATCAAGGGATCTTAAGAAAGCATTTCTATCCTACTGGTAACTACAATCACCTTATTTATAATCATTTTATAATTTAAAGTCACCTGATGGGTGTGTCTGGTTTTAAATATTTTGGTAGGTAACCAATGCAGACACAGAAAATGAGCTTGTATTAGCAGTGTACTCTGCAATGATGAGACACACTGCAGCAAACAAACAAACTATCCAATTTTTCCATCAAGCCTCCCCAAACAGAAGCTGATCTTCCTCCTACTCTACAAGCTGCATCTCATCCTAGGGTAAGCAGTTTTCAAGAAGAAAGTGTGGAAAATAACAAAGAATTTTCAAGAATTTGGATTTTAGGCACAGTTCGTATTTTTTAAATTACTCTAGTGCTTCTTTGACATTCCCCCACAGAAGGATAAACATGGCCAACTGTCTTCAASAGAAAAATACAGTAAGACATGCAACACATCCTTTTTCTGCTTGCAGATTTATTTGGAGTCATTTTATTAATCTGTCCCCAATGACTGCACCTAATCATTTACCTTGCAAACTACCAGGACTTTTTAGGTGAATAATTAATTTAAACATTTTTCTTTCTTTTTCTTGCTGTCTGTTAACAGTACTATTAGAAAATGAAAACTCTCATGAATACTTTCATTTCAAAGTCCCAAATTACCACATGAATTGAAAAGAATGACCACCAAGTAGCTACAACATGAACAGAAATATACAGCAAYGCATGGAACCAACTGAAACACAGTCTTTCATCTCTAGTGAATCAGTTCAAATCTAACTCAAGTTGGTAGCTGGTGACAGCTCTTTGGTGACTGTAGGAAATCAGTTTGTAGTTCTCCTTTTGATTCCCTTTTGCTCACATTTCTTCAATGAGACTTTATCCTCTYCCTTGGCCAAGTCCAGATTTTCAAGGCCACAAGTCACATCCCATTCCAGAGCTTGCTGCCTCTGCTCACAGTTGACATGGAGGGATCTCGGAAACCATGTGGGAGAAAGCCAAAGCTGGCTCAAAACAAACCACTTCTAATGGAGCTGGAGGCACTCACGAGCAACAGCTAAGAACTGATGTAATTACTCACRACCCTGACAACTTTCAACATCTTTTACCAAGATCTTTCTGTCAGAGGCCTCCTAGTTCCTTATCTTTGGCGAGAATCAAACACCAAAGCTCCAAAAATTCACTTAAAATTTGCAAGTCCTAGAAGAGCCTYTCTAAGGCAAAGGCAAAGTCTTTCTAGGTGAAGCATAAGCATGGAAGCTGTTGTGAGATCTGAAAATGGAAATTATATGGGAGGTATTTAAGTGCGTGGTTCTSGCAGTTATGGAAATAGTTAGCGTTGACAGGAATTCATTGGGGACCCAGCACTTAAAATCTCAGTGGGAGAAAGACTGGAAACTAAACACACAAATCAATATGGTCTCTACAGAAAGAGAGAATGGTAGGAAAATAAATACAGTTCTTGTCCAAACTGTTTACTTTTTATAGCTAGAAGTGATAATCTCTAGCATTATCAATTCAGACCTTCATTTTCACAAGTAACCTTTTAAGGAAATGTAGTATTTGGCACAGTTATAAAATTTAATGGAAGCTGAAATTAAATTTTTGCTTCCAACTTAATTCCACCTGTGTGCCATCGTTTCTTAAAAACTACACGTACAGGTTTCAGGACTATCCTAGAATTGCATTTATACTGAACTACAGATAAAGTTACTCTCTTGCCCCAAAGCACTCCCTTCTCACAATGAAGTACAGCACTGAAGAAGCAAATATGCAATATTTTTTATTATAAACATCCATGTCAATGCCCACAGTAGTCATACTAACAGAGCTACAGAGGCCTAACAATCACAGGGTTTACAAAGTCCCTATAAAAACCATTGCTGTGCTCTAGGACTTGCCAGGGTTTTAGCAATTCTTTCTCCATCTGCTCATCTGAAGAATGAACAAGGACTTAAGAAATAGCCAAAGCAGCTAAATCAAATGCTTAGATTGGTTACATACAAGCATTGAAGTGTTCACTAAACTCAGCTCAGGAGGTATCAAGCCTCAAAAACTCTCCAGACACATAGAATATATTCTTTTATGAATTTCATTAAAAAATCTAGCTTCTAATTTCAAAAAAAAATATACCTTTTGATAGTTTTTCAGGAAAATTGAATTTAGAATTAAATTAAAAAATTTAATAAATGATCTGAAAAAAACTTCTTTGTCCATTCCTCAATAAATACAAGTCCCAAGTATTACTTTCCTGGCACTTGTTTTCTATTTTACAACTTCAGCACAATTTCAGTAAAGGTGAGAAAGCTTGTGTTTAGCTCTCTCTGCCACCAGAAGCCACATTACGGACACAACTGCACTTGTATGCTTTACTATGTATCACAAAAAATGGATGGRTGAAATAAGTGACAGTAAAATACATCAGACTTGACATCCACACAGACTGAAGCCCTCTTCTCCATTCAGAGGAGGCACTGCTCGACAATGACACAGGCTTTTCCCCACTCACACTGCAGCTGCACTCTGGGAGGAGCGGGAGCAGTAGTTTCTCAGTAACCRGGAATTACACTGCTGATAGCGACTCTTCAGTTCTGCCTTTGAAATGTCCCAGCACAAACAGGTCACGTCAACAAGTGGGAGGGCAAGCAGGAAAAGAATGAGAGAAGGGAAATGCAGCTGCAAACAGGGAGTAAACTGAAGCAGGGGGTTCCACGGTGATGCACAACAATCTGCTGCCTAACAGCACTGGGAATTTAGGAACCGGAAATTCGAGGCACTCCCTGGCACAAAGCTGCACAAAAGGAGTGAGGGACATGCCAGAGCTGTACAGAAAATAAAGCATGAGAATCTACAGACAAACTATTGTTTCWTTGACTTCCTTTGATAACCTGCACAGAAAGCATCTAAATCAAAAAAATACTTCTTAGATTGTCCCTGGCATGATCTATTCCACCAGCACAACTTAATTAATCAAGTATGTTGTTCTTTGTCACTCTGTTACTTGCTCTGACCTTTCTCTATTTTTGACTTTATTTTTTTCATTCTGCTACTTATTTTCATGAATATTTGTGATCACAAAATATATTGAGAGTGACAGACAGTAAACATTACTGGAGGCTGTTGCACTTGGACTGTGATGCAGATGGTCATCCAGAGGCGGGTATACGAGCTTAGTTAGAAGGTCATGCCAATGCCCATCCCTCCAAAGATCAACACTTTGGAAAACAACCTCCAAAATCAAGATTGAACACCAGGAGAATTTCACAGCAATTTCTATTTCTATTCCTGCCACAGTAATGAAACTCATTTCAGAGAACAAAAGTCATTAAACAGAGAATGTTGTCAAATGCGACAGAAGATGCTGGGGATAYGAAAGCCTGGGAAAAAAACACCCCATTCCCTAACATCCCAAGTACTGGTGAGAGACATGAAGAAAAAGACAGACGGAAAGGCAGTCTAGAAAAGCACAAAGATATTTGATCACTAATCAGACAGAAAACCCATCTGAAAGTCACAACTGTCTCTGCAGGCTCTGAAAGACAGAATTAAATTGGCTKAGTACTATATTCAAAAATGAATTTAATTAGCTGACATTAAGCAGGATAAGTTTGCGGTACCATGTTGCTCTGACAAGCTGTCTCCAGAAGGGTAAGTGGAAGGTAAAATCTTGTTTTYCAGGATGAGATTACGGCCGTGCACTGAGACAGAAGGTAATGGCATGTCTGCTGAGGGCAGCTGAAACTTGGTGCTGGACATTTCATCTCACACTATAAAAGGATGGTATGTGATAGACGAGCCAGAAGTRCAAGTTTCAGATTCTGCACATTTATTCATTTGGCTGTGCAGCTTCATCTCCTTCTGCTGTTGCCACTTACACGAAGAAGAGAGCCTCATGTATAACCTCTGCCAGGACCTTTTTATCCAGTTTCTCTCAGTCAGAGCTGCCCCCTGGAAAGACTACAACACCCTAGGTGCAATTATTAATATTCTTTTATTCATAAGAGAGCATGTTGGTCCTTGGTTGCAAGGATGAGGTCTGTGCAGGAGGCAGCTCCTGTGCTGCCTGGGYTGGTGCTGCACATCCATTGTGTGTTTTATGGGATCACCCACAGCACCCCTGCTCGGCTCCACAAGGCTTCTCTGCGTGGACCACAACCTCCACATCACAGCGCAGCCTGCAAGCAGAGTGCCGGTGTTTGAGGGCCAATAAAAGAAAGTACAAACTATGGCAAAAATCGAGCAGCAGAGAGTGACRAATGAACAATCAATGGTAAAATGCACAGTAAATCCAAATCGCYTCCCCAAGGAGCACTTGGAGGAAATGGAATAATACATTTCAAAGCAGAAGTCCCATGCACATGGGACATAACAAGCCTTGCCTTCTTATGCCTCCTTCCATTGATAGATTTAGCTCTGGGGAAAGGCATCTCACTGTCAGTGCTAGAAATCTGCTTATTTTCAAAGCAGGCACATACATCCTAGGGTGTGACCAGGAAACMTGTTGCTCACATCACTTAGACCAATATCTCAGC